TTTTCACATAAGCATTATATTTAATATTGATTCTCTATATCCACATCAAAATCGACATTAATATTATATTATCGATTCATTTTCGGTTTGCATTGCATTAAGACTTTTTGTGTGTGTTTTCAGCCGAGTTGAGAAAAAATCGTATAGTTATTCGCCACTTAAGAGCCATGAAATTCATATGAAAACCTGAGAAACACACAAATCGTAGAGAAAACACAGATTTTCCGACAGATTATGCATTTGTTGTGCACTTTATTCATGTGGACTTCGACCCAAACCACTGACCGAATAAACTGTATCTCTCTCTCTCTCCCTCTCTCTGTCGCCTCGATCTGAGTCTTATGTCTTCAGACATGACTGCTCTCCCGCTGACAACAGCCTTCTCTCTCGAATCAAAATCATATTTTCCATGTCTTAAGCCTCGGGAGAGAGAGAGAGAGAGAGAGAGAGAGAGAGCTATCAGACAAACAATTTTTCGGTGAATTTTCAATGAGATTAAAGCGAATAGAAATTGTATTGGAGTTATGAAATTGAAGTGAAATAAAATTTTAACATATTTTTCGAGGGCTTTATACAAACAAAAAACCATTTTTCACTACAAATATGCATTCAGTATTTCTCTCAATACTCATGAATTTCAGTAGTATTTATGCAAATACTTTATAAATAATTTGTATTTAAATTTATTCAAACTTTTTGTTTTGTTATTTCGCTGCAAATATTAGTTTTGGAAATAATAGTCATATTAGCATTCCTTATGTGAAAGTAATACCAGTGTGAGTTTGTTTTGAATTAATATTTTAGTATAGGGGTAAAATTAAATCGCTAATAAATTTGATTTAATCGCCATTTGTGCTTGAATATTGTGCAAATTAAGTGCAGCACGAAATTTATTGCATTTTAATAGCCGTATTGCAAATGAGAAAAGTGTTAGCAATTTTATTTGCCAATCATTATTATTATTCCCATTCACTCGAGTCAATGAAATAGTAATAAAATATGTTTTTTCTGTCAAGAATTCAAATGAAATTATATTTTTTTTGGCACAGAATTACGATTATTAATAATCATATGAATATAAATCCTGTTGGCAAATGTATTTTCAATTATCAAAACTATGTTGTGTTTGCTTTTTATTAATGTTTGAAATTTTAGTCAATAATAAAATATATATAACTTTATAATCATTACTCGACTTAAAAACACGACTTAATGGTGACTGCAAAAAATGTACAGTATGTCGGCTTACATTACATAACAGTCTCTGAAAACATTAAAATGCTTTTTAACTATAGAGTGAAAAGTTATAACTAATGTCTTAAAGATTTTTAAAAATATATATATATAAGTTTATCTAAAAATTTACTTTTAAGGCTAAATAATTAAATCTTAATATTGCAAACACGGACTTAAGCATTAGGGCTCTTAAATGGCTTATATATTTATTATTTTTCTTTTATTATTAATACTCGGTGTGTATAATATATTTATGAGTAAACAGTAATTCATATATAAAGTACAGAATTTTTAACATGAATTCTGAGTGATTTCTTTGCCATCAAAATTGGTGTACAATATTACTCTCTGTTATTGATATATTGATGTCATTGAAAATGCACTTAAATTTATGGTCGCATTTGCGGTGTGTTTGCGGCAAATATTTGTGCTGTTTTTTGCTGCCATTCCTACAAATTGATTTCAATTGCTTATCAGATGACAGTGCAGTCAAACATGAGATTATTTTTGAACACCAATTAATTTTATTATACATATACAAGCGTTATATAACATAACATATATATATATACGCTATGAACTAATTTATTGTCTCTCAGAGCCTGTGCTCGCAATCACTCTATAAATCGAGAATATCTGACATTTTCTATTGTTTTTGATGGCATTCCTACTCATCATTTGTCTCCCATTCCTCTCTCATCCCTATCCTCATTGCGAGTGACACTGGATTTGATTGAATCCAATTGTTTTATATTAATTGAATTCACAAATTTGTCACTTTATTTCCCATACACTTCTTCCTTATATACTGTATATCTGTATATCGTATGCACACTTGGGTTCACAATATATTTGTTAAACTAATATCTTTTTAAACATATTATAGATTGCATTATATTATGGTATTACGGATTAACTAAACATTGATATACTGTTATATTGTATACACACATGAAATATAGCTTTATATTCACATCACTCCGAAAATTCAATTTCTCCACAACTTTCTCTCATCTCTAATATTATATATGAAATCTCTTTAAGAGATAGTCGAGTGCTCTTTCAATACACACTTTACTTGCCATTCAATAGCCCTATTGTAGTGCTCTATCGATGTATTAAAATATGACAAAAATATACGCTATTCTCAGTCCACGAAATGCAATCGAAATTGCATTCAACGCTGTGAACAAAGTTTGCATTCTGTAGGCCAACAATATTCTTGCACTCCTTTCCCCTCACATAAACTCGTATACAATATATATTATACGAGTCTTGTGTATTAGTGTTGATATAAACGATAGGAAAATAGCTTTTTATATATTTTTATTTTGTATTTTATTCGCTCCGGAATCCACCCATCATTTTATTCCTTAATGTTTTTATGTGTTTTCATTATTTTTCATTGTCTACAGAGTATACTAGTATACAGTACTGATGCCATAATAGACCCAGTATTCCCACTCATGTAATGTGTGTTTCGCTCATAAAACCCTATTTAGCAAATGAAACCACACATTAAACTGTTTGCCAAAAAATTATAGACTTTTTTCGCCTGTCGTCTGAAACTATTATGAAAATTATTCGTCGTTTTTAGTGTTGAATAACACGAACAGCCATAACATGTCGTTTAATTTCATTGTGCGCTTAGGTATGTCCAATGAATCGCACCATTCAATGGCCGTACAGTTGGCTTTTAGGGTCATATAATGTATAAAATCGCATTCAATAAAAGCAAACATTGTTTAAAAATAATAAAAAAATTATTTACTCGCGTATCGTATGTCGCTATAGTATACATACATACGATATCCAAAGGCATGCGTCCATTCAATTAAAATAGACAAAAATCTTTATTTGCATAGTTATAGCGAATTACTGTATAGTTTGTATAGACAATGGTTCAGTAGAGACTTATTATTACCATGATATACACAGAGTGTGCAGTTTTAAATCAATTCCATGCCATTAATCATCTGATTTAATGGTCGCCTTTATTTAAAGTTCAAAAATTATATCTAATATTCTTTGGCTTTATCTCCAAAAAATTTCTACATTTCTGTTACACCAATAAACTACACATTTGGCTCGCGATTGTCTGCCCTCTCATAGCCAGTACAATGCAATCCCGAAAAACTGTATTTTTTTCATTTGATCCCCTCGTCTGATAACACCATTTCTGTGTTCAAAAAGTTTTTCACAACATTTGCTGCAGTTTTTCGGCGAACACAAGAATCGCGATATTTTATATGTATTTCGCATCCGACAAACGAAACGCAAGAATCTGTTTGCTATGATATCTATGCGACACAAAAATCTATGATAACTTTGTGCAAAACTCAAATGTTTGGTTTATTTTTCTTGTTAGGTTTTAATGTCAAGGAATTTGCGATTAAAATAATAGACGAATTGATAAATGATTTACTCTTTAGTCTCGCGTTTCGCGATTGAAACCCTGAAAAACGCCAGAATTTTGCGCCACAAATGTGTAGCAAACATGAGATCAATCCCAGAGAATAATTAATTGCTTTACAACTTATTATGTGTTAAAACAAATTCCTCTGAGCTCTCTCTCTCTCTCTCTCTCTCTCTCTCTCTCGCCAACAGAGAGATTCTCACTCTAATGACAAAAGTTTTTAGTTTTATTTTCTCTCCTAAAACTCACTCTATTTTTAAGACAAATGAGATTTCTTTCATTCAATTCATTCATTTATATTAAAACTTTTTCTTTTGGTTTTCCATTCGTTTACACAAAGTATTTGCCGTATAATGAGATCCATTTGATGTATCAATTCTGCAGTGAATAACACTTTTTACTTTTTTCTGCTTAAATTGTTTTAAATCATAATATTAATATAAATAGAAAATTAAATTTTCTAATACAATGTATTTTATCAGAAATTTTTTAATTAAATTTATTTTTGCATCATAAAACTCAATTTCTTTTGTCGCAAACGTGTTCTCAAATACAAACTAACATTTAATATGATTTTTGCCATCAAATTCTTACACATATTTATAACACTCAACGTCTGTGAGAAGCACTTGAAATAAATAAAACGGTTATTCCCTTCGCATAAAGACCTTAATATTCAGTGAGTTTTATGGCAAGAAAAAAGGAGTTTTTAATTTAGGGCTCAAGTGTGCGCCCAAAACACTGGAGTGTTTCAGTCTTTGACTCAAATATTTATTGTATAAGTATTCAAGTATTCAAGTATTCATTGGGAAATGAAAAACAGTACTTAATCTCTAAACTATTAATACACTTATAAATGGTTTGAGACGTAAGGGCTTTGGCTGTGAGAGTGAGTCGTCGTCGGGAGTCGACTACTATTTCGATGACAAGGACTGGTATTCTGTAGTATTCGTAACACTTATAGCACACCAGCGCTCGAATAAATCACAGAATCTATTGTTTCCTTATTTTAAGGCTTACGGCTTCCCTTTGCCTACACTTTCGCTCCCATTCCTCCATTCAATACTCAAATCTCATCTCTATTTTGAGAACAATTTCATCAAATCTATTGGAGACAGGATTGACGAGAGAGAGAGAGAGAGAGAGAGAGAGAGAGAGAAAACACGTCTTCGTGTGTTGGCTTCAATTTTCTTCAATCTATTCAATGACTTGATTTTGTGTTTCACTCAAACCATTCCACACTTCACTCCCGGAGTCTAAGTCTAAGCTATTTCTCAATTCCGCTGAGAATTTCTATCAGAGATTAAACTCATTGAGAGGATTGAGTGCCCGAACCCACACCAGAGTAATGTATTGGCCGTACATTACATCGCCTAACAATCAAAGAGGTGGTGCCTGTCGACTGCCTGTGCCGATCACTACGACGACATACAATTGAATGTGTCTCGCAATTAGGGACAGACACCCAACACACATACTACTTGTGCCAACTGCACCGCCAGTGTCTACAGTATGGTTGGACTCGGAATGCCATCAAATAAATTAACTTTTCCTCCTATTCTTATGAGTCGACTACCACTCTGTTGTGTGACTTAATTACTGGTGCCGTCACTTCGCTCCTTAACACTACCGGAGCTCTCATTTGGGCGAAACACTAGTAGTAAACCATTTAAACTAATAAAATGTCACAAAAATCGTGTGTCTTTTCAACCAAATTATCGCTAAAATTGTCTCTCAAATAGTTATCTAAACTTTTTTTTTGTTTCTGTTTTCCATTCGCTTCACAACGAGTTTCAATAGAAATTCAATTTGATTATTAGACACACAATACTGCCACTGTCTGTGTCAGGGGATGTAGTATCACTCAGATATCAGATAGTACCCCGGTTCATTTAAAACAGCAACAAAAAAATATATTCCTTATCTGTAAAAAAATTACTTTTCATTTTGGTGTCTCTCATTATATATCATTAATTCATTTTCCCAGAAATGATTTCAATAGACAGTGAGTTAGAGTTAGTTAGAGATAGAAAAAACACATTCAAATAAAACGAATGAATAAATTACTGAATGTATTACTAAACGAATAAAACTCTGGCTTTTATTTTATCTCTTTATTTGCGAACCAAAAAAGTTTTACCACTTATTCTGTACGACGAGTCGCCGTATCTGTTATGGGTGTTAGGGATGAGCAAAGGGTTGGTTACCTCACAGACACACATATATAATACCCCCTGAGCTCATATGGTTACGAATAGTGATATTCCCACACATGTGTTGATTACCAACAATTTTATATAACTTGTCATGTCGTATATTACTCGAGATATTCACCTCTCAAGTTGTACACCCCCTACCCCGTACACCCCTGTCCATTCTCATAGCGAGGCATACAGTGAATGAACTGTATTTCCACACAAGATTTCCTTCCGCTCAATACGAATGCGAATAAATATTTAAGAAAAAAGTTTTTTTCAATTTTCTTTATTTTTGCTTCAATTCAAAACCAAAAACTCTTTTATTTATCTGAAAAGTAATCTCTTTTCTCGAGACTGAATGAGTGAGTGACGAGAGAGAGAGAGAGAGAGAGAGAGAGAGAGGTGTCTCGTGTATCTCTATTTAAAGTCTTAGTTTTGTATTTAAAAAATTTCATGAAAAATGTTTTGATGAGATGAGAGACAAGTTGAAGAACCATATAATTAATCATTAATTTCTTCGTTCATACGATACACACGAATTCCGTAATGAATTTTAAGCCCTATTTATAGGGACATCGAAAACAATGCATTTATTATTTCGGTTGAACGCGACTACACAACAGAATAACCACCAAAAAGTGAATTAACTTTTTTGTGTGTCTAGTGTTAGGCTTTTCATACACTATTAATGTATGCATTCATTCATTTATTCATTCGTTTATTTATTCATTCATTGGATTTGTTTCACGCAAAATGTTTAACGAATATTTTTATACCCAAAGAATATCCCTTTTAATAGAAATTTCTATTATAATAGTGAGAGAGAAAGAGAAAGTGATGCTCTTTTCACTCTCGTGTGATATAAAAGGCTATTATTAGCTGCGAGTTGATGTGAAAATCAATTTTAATTTTCAATTTTATTTCATTTTCATAGTCACTGTCTCGGTGTATGAGTTGCATCTCATAATAGACTCCCAGACATATGAGCAGTTTGTAGTGAAATATTATTATAACTTAAATGATTACACATTCTCTAAACCCCTTAAAGACTTATAATATATGCAATGATATTGAAAAGGATAGGTATGGGAGAGAAAGAAAGAAAGAAAGAAAGGGAGGGAGAGAGAGAGAGAGAGAGAGGTTGTCAGTGGGAATGGTTGGCTCCGGGATTTTGTGTACTTTTAAGTGCAATCAAATGGGAATAACTATAAGCCATAAAAGCCAACACAAACACAGAGTGGCTGTCCGTCTTAAGACACATATGAATGCAATGGTTAGACGGTTAGACAGCTTTTACGAGTCTCTCGTATCTATTTGTGTGACATTTTTAAACAAAAATATTATTCTTGTACTGCATTTGGTTTTAAAGCCTCTCGACTCGTCTCGCAGATCAGTCACAGGCTTTTGGCTCAGAATTTGGGACAATATTTGTGTCCTTTTTGTTGAGATAAACGGCTTTTTCCGAAGAAAATCAATTCCATTCAGACGAGAGTTTTTGGAAATAAAATTTTTTCCCAACTTTTAAATAAATCTTAGATTTTATAGTAGAAAAATAATGTTTTGTGAATTTTACGAGTTTTTAGTAAACTTTAAATCTTTAATACGATATATTTTGTTCAAATTGTTTTTAGATTAATCTCTTTGGAAATTAAAATGCTTTTAAAACACTAATAATCCGTAATCTTCTTTCGGTATTAGTGTTCATTTGGGGAGAGAGAGAGAGAGAGAGAGAGAGCTCGTAAACTGTTGAAAAATATCTTAATATATACAAAATGCATAACAACTTTGAAAATAGTTTTATATTTCACTTAAACCCCCGAAACCAGTGTTTTCTACAGAAAAAATAATTTTGATTTGAGATTTGTATCGGTTTTTGGACCCAAAAATAGATTTCCAGATTCTATCACTTTCTGTATTCCTGTATTCACGGCATATATTCTTTGTGAAGGAGAGGGAGGGAGAGAACTAGGGATGGAGAGAGAGAGAGAGAGAGGGCACTGGTAGTTGATGTTCAGATCGTGTGTAAGAGATTGTAGACATTATGGCACTTCAGAACTCATAGTTTTTTGGCTGTAGATCTCCTGTCACTCGTTTCTCTCTCTAATTACAAATCTCTCTCTCTCTCTCTCTCTCTCTCTCACGCGTAACACTACATCCCGAAACACAACTGTAATTAAGTTGGAGTTTAACACAGTTTTGGTATTCACGTAGTATTTTGTAATGACTTTCTTATTCACACACAAAAACTGTGAGAAAAACAGAGAAAAATACTTAAATATTGTGTTAAACAAGAAATCGATAACTCGTTCGCGGAGTCGACAGAGAAGTAGCGTTTGAATTGATATAAGGCTTGCAATTGAAATAAAGCACACCTTTTGACTCGCGAAACGATTCAATAATTAAGTGCTTTTAGGTATTAATATAAATATTAGTAATTGAATCTCGAAATGCAGACATAAATTATAAAACATATTGAATCAGCACTTCCTGTGAATAAATTAATGCTAAATTCGCAAACGGTTTGTGTGTTTCTAAATTGCATTAAGAATTCATTTTTATTTTTGAATCACATTTTAATTCATTGCAATTCTTGGCATTTCATATAAGGATTTATTGTTTTTGTTTTATATATATAAGTAATTTGTATTCTTATCAAACTTTACTGATCTCTAGGTTTTGTGGAAATGTATAAAATAAAAACTTTGCATTTAATTTACGAGACATTACTGAGCCTTATATCATATATTATGTATATTCTCAATGCATTTCATAATATTATTTTTTACACATGATATAACATTTGGAATATTCCTAGATTTGCATAGAATTTTATTTTTCAAATCTAATTTACTAACTAATTAGTAATTAATATTTTTTGATTTTGTTTTGTTTGCATAATTAGGTCCGCGAGGCAAACGAGGCAAAAGAGGACCTCCTGGGGAGTCGGGAACCCCGGGACCATTGGTACGTATCGATTAATATACAACTAATATAATACTAATCAGTGAATAACAACAAAAAACTTCGCAAAACAAACAATAAAAATCCAATGAATTTATGAACTAATTATGAGTATAATTCTGATTTATTTTAGGGACCGCCGGGTAAACCAGGTTTTCCGGTAAGTCTTTTTTATGATATAAATATAAATTCACTTCACTTTTATCTATTATATAAATATATATATATAAATGAAAACCACTTTTAAGTCGAGTCACACAACAAATTCTGAGTTATATTCCGTACACAAAGCGATAGGAAAAAGAGTTTTTTTTGTGAAAAAATCAAAATTTCTTTAAAAACCAGAAAATATAATTGCATTTCACACACAACACGACACAACACACAACTGTTATCTACGAAAGTCTTTACAAACATTATCTCATGTCTTATCTCTCGGTGAGAGAGAAAAAAATGTTTTGCTTTTCACATGAAAAAAGAGTTTCAATTTTTTTTGATGCCTACTATATATACACACAATACTATTCCCTTTGCCTTTCCCTCTCATCCATAGGGCGCTATCGGTATAGACGGACCCAAAGGTGAACAAGTGAGTCGTGAAGTTATCTTGATTATATTTTGTTTTGTGCACTCAATTTTGTTTCGGTTGTAGTTATTTATAAGTTATTTATACATGTATTTCAACCTTCAATGTGTGCTCACATTTTTTAGGCACACTTTTCTCCGCAATTTGTTATTTCTTTCTCTCTTTTTTTACTCTCTCTTTAAACAAATACTTTCTGTAATATTCTCTGTCTTTACTCCACTCTCTCACTAACCATTCAAATGCTAATCATCTGTATATTTATATCTCTTCAAAAAACAGACCAGAAATCGACTTTTTGTTTGTTAACTCAATATTAACCGTAGAATTGATTTTTTTTGGTATTTGTTGGAAGTTATTTGGTTTAGTGTTTTTTGCAGTAGATTTTTAGTTTTAGTTATTCGTAGCCATTCTCTAACCATGTATTTGTGTAGTTGCTACTAATGAATACAAATACAAACAAATACAAAAAATACAACTTTTTATTTAAATTATATAATTATTTTAGGGCTCCAAAGGAGATAAAGGGGATAAAGTAAGTGTCTCTTATGTTTTAATAACATACCTTTCCTATTCAATTAATCACATTTTTTAACGCATAACTATTGCATTCAATTTACATTCATTGGGTTAACTATTTTTGCTTTTAATTTAAACTAAGAGAGAAACTACTTTTTAGTTTACTTTTTCCAAATGGACTTAATTTATAATGAATGCACGGAAAGTGTATTCAAAATCATTACTTATTAATCTTTCGTAAAGTAGTAAAGACTATAGAGTTTTACAGGATTTATATTTTTAAAACCTTATTTCCAACAGTTAATTGATTTTTTGTATTTTATTTTCGGTGAAAAAAGTTTTTATTAATAGAAACGTTAAGTCGATGTGATGTGAAAGTTCTGTTTATAATCATTTTCAGAGTACATTGACTATGGATTTTGCTTGTAATACATATCTTAAAATATAAATTTCACATATTTTTCATACGATTTTGCTTTTTATATGATTTTCCAGTCAACAGTTAGACTGATATGAGAAATGAAAGCAGGGATTAAAATATGAATATTCTTTGAGCTTAAAAATAGTTTCTTAGAAAAACATTTCACAAAACGAGTTATACATTGTATGTCTCTCTCTTGGATCCAATTCTGGTGACAATCTTCTTTTGCTGACACTTTTCTCTCAACACTTTCTAACATTGGAAAATACTAAACATTTTATTGACTGACACACCATTTACACGATTCTTGTAGCTCTACCACACAAAATATACTCAAATCTATAGCTCATTAATCACTCATTTAATCCTTTTATTGCTTTTATAGCTATTAATATTCAATGTCTCGTATGATTAATATATCATAAAATTAAATGAAATTCTTTACTAATTATCTGTATTTCTGTCTGAAATTAATATTTTAGGGCGAAAGTGGTTTCGATTTATTCACTACAACTAAGGTATACAAACTTTTCTCTATGATTAACTTTCCATTGAACTATAAATTAATTTTTACCACCAAATGATACTAACATTGTTTTTTACATAACTTCATACAAATACACACAAAAATAAAATTTCGCAATTAACATTATAATCAACTGCTTTTGAACTACAATTATAAGTTATAATAACTATAAATAATGACTTCTTTCCGAAACAAATATATGTGTAAAACAAATAAAAATTTATATATAACACAAAGCCTATTGGACAGGGAGTTAAAAGGTCGGTCACTAGACTTCGTGGCGGAACATTAGGCTATGCAGAGGTGATAGCAATTAAGGTTAGTCTACAAGTCAAACACCCGTTTCCTTAACCATTTCCCCAACTAACTGTCCTCTTATATACTGTATTATCTGTGGTACAGAATCTGTACTTTTATATGTGTTTGTGTTTACTCTAAACTCTTTATGTGCACTGATTTCTACAACAAAAACTTTTATTTATATTTGTGTTTAATTTAATTTGATTTCACTTTTGATAAGTTTTTTTTCCTCTCATTAATTTTTATGCCTTTCATTATATTTTAATTAATTTTTGATGTCTTGTAATATAATTTTCTCGTTAAATATAAATATAAAATTTTTCGCTAATTTTATTCATTAATCGTGTTTTCATTAAACAATTTGTGTGTGTGTTTTCTGTTTCACTATAATTCTGTGTTTAATGAGATTCAGACCCTTTCCCTCACACATGTAATGCCCATATACTCTCTCTCCACATCCAAACCCTATCCCATAAATTGCTTTTAACGTCGAAAATCAAATGGAAATATATTCGCGAAGACATAGAGAGATACACAACAGATTCGCTACACTATTGTCTGTCTCTCTCTCACTGTAATTCACTTTTCAATAACGATTTGGACACAAATGAGAAACAGATTTCCCAATGAAATCAATTTGATTTATAAATTCAAATAACAAATCGTCTGCAACTCCTCCGATCGTAAGGGTTCGAGCGCTAAACGAACCGCACATTTGGGCGCACAGTCTGTGCGAGAGATTTGAGAAATAGTACACAAATTGAATAAAATAGTCGTTAGTTTACTGTGTGTTTCACTACTCCATCGATAAACTTATATAAACTTTGATGAGAGAGAGAGAGAACACACAATTAGAGATGCGATTCGCGAGCAAAACATTTTCACATCAATTCTCTTTCTTCTCTCTCACTCTTCGACACTGTATTTAAGACACGAATTAACTCAACAAACAGACAGTCAGTCCATTGGATCCAACAGAGAGTCTCCGCTGTATAACAACGACTACTTTTCGGGAGAGAGAGAGAAAACAGTACAAAAAACAGTAGATATTAATTAAATTCAAAGGCAATCCTCTCGCAAATGATAAGAAAGACAAACACAGAATAGTTTTCGGCCGAAAGGCTCACTCACTGTCTCGTCATTAAAATCTGAACACATCTTAACATTCAATTAGTTGTTACCGGAGATAATACACAGTTGTATAAGTTATACAGTATAACACAATTTCACAATCAAAACTTCGATATAAAACTATTTTTTATGTGATTTTCCCACAAATTTCATCATCACTTTGTGTCAGATCCCGTAAATGTTATGATTTGTGTTTGGATTTAATGATTTGATTTGACAACAGAAACACATTTCATACAAACCATACAGAATTATAACAATGTTTTCATGTTTTATGTAATAAATGTTTCTGAAAAAAAACTCACACCAGAAATGCCTATAATTGTCTCTATTCTGTACACTGCTCTACTCTATGTGTGGTTAGGGCTTAGCCTCCCTGGGCATCACTTTATCTCCCGGTGACTTACTTCTGCTCAAAGTGAGTCTTCTCTCTATCTATTATACATACTATTTATATGTCTATGTGTTTGTCTGTTAATCAATATATCTCTTGACGTGTTTTTCTTTGTGTTTAGTGTTTAGCCATTCAATCATTTTGTGTCTGACTTTCATATATAACTTATATGTCTTGTAATTATTTTTTCCCAATTCTCTTGCATTTCGAGTGTTTTTCTAACTATTGTTTTCTATCCGTAATTAATTCAATTACGACCACAGGGTGAGCCTGGCCAACCAGGACCCCCAGGCTCTTCGGGACCACCCGGACCTACTGGACTGCCGGGATTTGATGGTAGGGTTGGATTGCCGGGCGAACCAGTACGTAGTGATTTCATATAATTATTTTTGTATTATAATATTAATTAAATTTTTATGTCAAATATAGGGTCCGCCAGGACTTCCCGGACCCATCGGACCAGAGGGTCCTCTCGGGCCCATCGGAAAGGATGGTCTGACCGGACCGAAGGTATATCGATATTCACATAAACATATTTCCCGTCAAAAAAGTTATATTGAATTTAAGATTATATTATATATAAATCGATTTGTATTTTATAATCAAATTATTGAGTGTTTTCGTAAACTTAGAAACATTTCGTTCCTATTATAAAAAAGTCAAACAAAAACGGAAAAATAAGTTTATTTTGTTTGCAAAGCGAAACACATATAAAAACTTAAGACAACAACAGAAATGACAAAATTGATTACAAGTGTAGCCAAACATATCGGTCTGAAGAGTTGAGTTGTATTTTGTTTTAGGGCGAAATGGGCTCAATGGGACTGCCCGGCCATAATGGACTTAAAGGAGATCCAGTGAGATATTATGTTTTAGTTGTTTTTTATATTCAACCAATTTTTATGTTACCCAAAAGATGACTAACAAAAAAACTGAAGTAACATAACTTTGGATAACAAACTCACTAACACTGGGATCTAATGGTCTAATACTGACATGAATTGAACTCATTTTATATATTTCTGTTGTAACCAAAAACTAAAATAACTTTAATCTACTTTTATGATCTATTTTTTAGCGTAACCTTAGTTATAAGACAAAGTAGATATTTCTTGAATACATTTAAATTTTAAAACTCAATTCAAACGATTATAGTTTGCAAATAGTATATTAAATTAATAATTTGCGTGTAATTTAATCTCATATAAAGTCTGAGAGAGAAATGTAGACTTAAATTGATTTTCACATTATTAATCTTAATGCAAAAGAATTGAGAATTAATTAATTTATGTGAAAAATGACTCCCAATTTCTCATACCATAGGTTTATTAATATATTTTAAATATGTGTTCAACTTTTCCAAAGAATCTGAGATTTTTTTGTTTGAGATTACAGTAAATCTGTATCTATACTGTTGTGAACAACCATAAGGTTAGCCCTTAGAAATACCTTCACGTAGTGATCACAACTCGTATAATATAAGACTGTTTTAAAGAAATAGTCGTAAATCTTAATGCCCTGATTGCCCCCCATTGGCATCGATTGACCCCCCATTATAATAGACACCACCAGAAACCCAATGGTTAGGCATAGGATCTCTGAAATTGAAAATTCTTGTGCGGGGGTAGCAGTGGTTCACAATAATAATTTACTCGAGTAGCAAAAATTTTGTAGCTTAAAACTTCTACACATAAAAAACATTTAAATGTATTCAAGGAATGACTCGATTTATAACAAATAAAAACTTTGGTGTACTTTGTTTCGGTGGACTAATAATACTAAATGTGTTTCCAACGCAAACCTCGCTGTTAAATATGGCGCTATCACTGACGTTGACTTCATTTTAACCTAACATTCATTTATTCAAATTTATTCCGAAATTCTTAAAGCGATTTGCTTTTTATAATCCGAAGCCCTATTGACTTGATTCCTGATATCTAATACACTTATATCTAATGCATTGTCTCTGTATTTCTTGAATACCAAATCCAAAAGTCTTGTCTTTCATACGAATAAATAACTTCTCATTTTCGAGACATAACTACAAAAGCATTATATAAATGGTGTTATCCTTTAGGGAGACAAAGGAGAGAAGGGTGACAGAGGGCTGACCACAACGTTGGATGGAAACGCTTTCCCCACCGGTTTCATCGAAGGACCCGCTGGTATGCCATACCTCCTGCCCATGGATTCATTTGATTCATACGAAGTGTTTGCTGAGCAAAAAAACAGTCAAATATTTTTCATCGAAAACTCTGAAAACAGTTTTATAGCCAAAGAGAGAAATCATTTATTACTTTCTAATACAGAGGAGTCTCTCTCTCTCTCTCTCTCTCTCTCTCTCTCTCTCTCTCCTTATAATTTGAGTCCTTCTTTCCTTTTCGTTCATTTCGTTTGAGTTTTTGATTTCTTTCGTTGAAGACGAAGAAAAAGGAGAGAAGAAAACGCATTCATTGATTGAATTCTCAGTTCAAAGGTTTTTGATTTTTTATTTGAATGATATTTATTGAGGGGATTGAGAGCCGAGAGAGAAATGGTTGAGCCATTGAAATGGTAAGAGTTAAGGGAGTGATTGGACTCCACTCTACAGTACGTGACACACAAATTGAGTCCCAAATCAATTGATAGACAGGTTTTCAGTTGCAAAACGACTGTATATTTATTGAGCGATATATTAGCGAAAATTATAGCAAAAGTGAATTTCGTGTAATTTTCTGTCAAAAATAGCTCATGAATTGAGTCGAGAAATATCGTTATAATTAGTATTTGTTTACAGAAGTCATGTCTTATATTCATCGGAAAAACCTTTGGCTCTAATTCTTACAGCGAGTATCGATGTGTGAGAAATCATAATAAACTTTTCAAACAAAACGATAATTTATGAAAATAAATATAGATTTTGAACTCAATTTATATTTTTCAGTTTATCGAGAATTCTGTTGTAATTATTAATTATAAATATATATATACGAGAAAAAAATTATTGCACATATAATAAATGATCCAAAAAATATATTACTATTAATAATAGTTATTTAAAGAATTAACACATGTATGGCATCACATGTTTAATGATACTTATCTCGGGGTTTCAATAAATCAATTATTATTTATTGAGAACTTATTTTCAGAAGTTTTCAGAAGTTATTTAATTATTTCTACAAATTTTATGATTTCATATAAACAGTGAAACACGAAGTATGAGTCTAAATGAATCCGAAATAATGTAAACACTTAAAAAGCTATTTAAAAGTTTATTAACATTTAAATGATTCAATTTTAGGACCTCCAGGACCCCCGGGACCTGCTGGCCCTCCCGGCCGAAAGGTTTGACGGCTTTATTAATCAATTATATTATTTTATTAGCGATTTTATTGCGAAACATATTAATTGATTAATACATTACTAATCCTTTGACTCGCAAAAAAACCTTTTTCATTTTATGTATTTTACTCCACTTTTGCTTATCTATGTATTTCTGTTACAATTCTTTGTGTTTTTTGAAACCAATTTTTAATATTATTTATGATAACATTTATACTCCATATTTGTTATACTTATCAGTTATATATGTGTTATCCTTAACAAAATTCCCTCAAAAAGTCCATTTTATGTTTTGAATGTTTATATGTTTTTGAAATACAAAATATAAAATTCTCGTGTAATTAAAATGACCGAGAATGATCATCAAAGGGCTCGTAATGTCTGTCCCCCTCACACACGAGTCACATCACACTTTGCAACACTATTTTTGTATCCAATTTCTTGTTCCGTAGGGCGACGTCGGTATCCCCGGTCCTCCCGGAGAGCACGGCGAGAAGGGGGACAAAGGGGAAAGGGGTCGCAGGGGTAAAAGGGTAAACAAATACCAATTACATTCGTAGAGGCATTATTAGCAGTGTACTTTCAGTTTGTTTTATATAATTCAAAAATAATTATCATTTGATTTACGATTGATAATCACTCTCAGCATCACATCTGATATGTACTGTACTTCTCAGCCATAGATCGAAAGCCAGAGATATTTTTATAGCGATTTTCTGTGTCATAGAAATGTGGAGTAAAACAAAACAAATTGTGTTTTCATTAATTGCTATTTATATATAAAATATTTATATGTCTTTCCAAATGTGTTAACGGAATATAAATTCCGGAATATTCTATGTGTATATGTATTGTCTCCGGAATTAATGGTTTCGTTCCGGTATTTAAAAAACTTTTTCTCATTCTTGACGTGTATTTTATGAATACATTTATGTGTTTCTTATTCTCTCCTATTATTCTCATCTCTCACTTCTGTGTCTCTAATAACGCCAATCAATACTAATATTAACACTAACTATGAATACCTAACGTAAGTAACAATCGCTTTCAAGCAAATTCCTATACCTTTCCGTGTTTTATATGTCTTCACAATACCTTTACATTCATTTCGCTTTTCATTTTGCGTTTTTTCATCGATTGACGGCTAAAGAAAAATACATTTTTGTCTTCATTTCCAGAAATATTGTTATTACTGCTAATACTTGTTGGCGTGAATAGCGTCGAAAATATTAAATGCTTTATTTGCATGTTTTATGGAATATTCCGCACAATATTCTGGCATTCAATGTAATAATATAAAAAAAATCTAATATAATTTTATAGACATCTCGTATCCAACGTCTGGCATAAATGAAAATATCATTAGGTTTTATGGGATTTACTTCGAAATAGTAATATATTTATAACATATAGTATTTTTTGTGGATAATTTATTTTTATTATAATAGACTTGAATACAATCTACACGGAATGTATAGATATATATAAATTATCAGCAAATAATCGTTTTGTAGTAATTCATGCATCCCATGGATTTGTATAGAAATATGGCAAAAATGTTTAGTAATTGTGAGTTTATTTTTGTGATTAGATTTAGCTGTTTTACGGTTGACTTTAGTTTCAAAATTCTTATGTTTCTTATGTTTGTAAACGAAACAGAAATAAAAATTAGACTCAAGTCGTACGAGTGAATTAAACTATGTCTTAATTGTGTTATTTGAATGTAGTCTACAAATTAGTGCTAATTTTTTATGTCAATTACCGCTAATATTATGCTCAACATAAACAAAAAACAAATAGTTATACGAATTGAAAGCAATAAGTTTGTGATAGAAATTGATTAAAATGATGGCAAAATACACTTTTCTTTAGCCGTCAATTAAACTAAGTGTTAAAACACTTATAAATGTTATTAACTATTCATAAATGTGTGTAAATGTGTAGTTAAGTGTGTTTCAAATAAATCATTTATAACTTTCGTGTTTTCATTGCTAACTAAAAAATCTAACTATAAATATATAAAAATTTATTTATTTTTATTCCTTTAGAAATCAGATTATTTTACAATCAATTAATTTTTCAATCAAACAGTACATCCAAGTGCTTAATAATCGCACTATTAATAGCTTTTTAACTATTAATGAATAACAAAAAAAAGACAAAATCTGTTTATATCACTGAAAATGCCGAGCGATTTGTTATCCGTAAGAATCAGATCCAATGGATTGACTTTTTGATTGATTGCCACCGAAAAAAAATATCTGAATTCTAATTAATGTCAGTTAAAATGTATCTTATTTTCTGATGTATTTTCTAAATATAAGCGACGATTCGTTGCCTTTAATTACAGACGACATCCAGAGAGAGAGAGAGAGAGAGAGAGAGAGAGAGAGAGAAGTCTATGACGACTGTCGAGACTAATAATCTCGGGGATCAAAAACCAGTGCTCTTTCTCTCTATACTAACAAATTATTAATGAATTTATTTATATTTATGTCTGAATCCGTAATTGAGTCTAACTATAAATATATAAAAATTTATTTATTTTTATTCCTTTAGAAATCAGATTATTTTACAATCAATTAATTTTTCAATCAAACAGTACATCCAAGTGCTTAATAATCGCACTATTAATAGCTTTTAACTATTAATGAATAACAAAAAAAAAGACAAAATCTGTTTATATCACTGAAAATGCCGAGCGATTTGTTATCCGTAAGAATCAGATCCAATGGATTGACTTTTTGATTGATTGCCACCGAAAAAAATATCTGAATTCTAATTAATGTCAGTTAAAGTGTATCTTATTTTCTGATGTATTTTCTAAATATAAGCGACGATTCGTTGCCTTTAATTACAGCCGACATCCAGAGAGAGAAGTCTATGACGACTGTCGAGACTAATAATCTCGGGGATCAAAAACCAGTGCTCTTTCTCTCTATACTAACAAATTATTAATGAATTTATTTATATTTATGTCTGAATCCGTAATTGAGTGGAGGAGTTAGCGTTGGAGGGGAAAGGGATGCCAGCAATGGAGAGATAGAGTTAGCTGATAGAGGAGCACCCGATCGTGACTTTAGATATAAATTCTCAGTCGGATTAGTGGTAAAGGGTTTTTCGTAGAAATAGTTTATTTCCGACGCTTTAATTGCATTAACTCTCATCAGATGAGAGACACCACTGATTGCCAAACCGTATAAATAAATCAGAGAATAAGATACACTTCCCAATCGATAGGCGGGTAGACTTTTTTATGAGGCGTTTGAGTCGCGATTTGTCTTTTTGTTTGTCGCGAATTGATTTTAATTAATGATTTGTCGCACACTTTTAGGGCAAATCTGGCAAACCTGGTATTCGCGGACCTGCCGGAGACTCCGGCCTTAAGGGAGAACCAGGAGATTCGGGACTTTTAGGTCCTAAAGGAGACATTGGTTTACCCGGTACTCAGGGCGAGCGAGGCTTACCCGGTAATGACGGACTCGGTGGACCTCAAGGACCCCCTGGTCTGCCCGGCGCTGTCGGCTCTAAAGGTATTTGTATTCACTTCACGAGAACTTTCAAATTTTAAACAATTTTAACTAATTTTTCTCATTTGACTGACAACAGGACAACCCGGAGATATGGGTCCGCCAGGAATGATGGGTCCACCGGGTCTTCCCGGCCCGCCCGGAAAGTTTGGCCCCAAAGGTTGGCATTGAATCTGTTTTTTTAAACAAACTGTGGATTTATTTTAAACTATTTTTCTTATATTTTGATTAAACAGGAGATCGCGGAGACAAAGGAGACGCCTCTGTGAGTGATATATAACTAACTCATCAATTAGTTCTTGGATTTGAATTGAAGTTCAC